AAGTTACGTTACAAGGTAAAAGACAGGATTGTGGCTGTGAAAACAAACTTAAACAAGAGGAGATAAAATAACCTTGCAAGATAAAGTGATAGTACTATGATGCTGTAGGTTGTTGGGGGTGGCAGTAAGGTCACTGGAACAGTGTGGGGGCTGGCACAGCTGACTTTGCTGATGCTGATATCACACAAAGCTCCCTCTCAACTCACAATATGAAATGGAGCTCTGACCAGGAAAGAACCCAGAGAACAAAAGACAGGAAAGTGTACATGAGGAAGATAGGAGACTGCATCACCTGAGAAGGAGCAGGATGTTTGCAGTGTGGGATATACGCCAGGGGAAGGAATCCCCACTCTGAGCTGCAACATTGGAGAGCTGTAGATAAACACTTGGAGAATATACTTCATTTGACATTAATAATGCAGTGCCTAAAGTATGTTGGATGTGCTTTAAATATTACATGTGAATCCCAAGCCTCTCTTGTAATAATTTTAGGAAATATCCATAATCTTGTCATTTTAACAGCAGAACAAGTTTTCTGGCCTTTTCATCCTTCTTGGTGTATTAGGAACTGAGATGTGCATACCTTCTCCACATAAAAATTGCATTTACTGTTATTGCTGCCTCTGCAGCTATACAAGCAACAGCCTACCTGATTTCAGACGCTTAAAGTAAATTAAGAGAGGACGAAGACCCAAGCCCTATAAAACTGCTTTGGAGACATCACAAAACATTAACATAGAACAGTTGGCAGGTCAGACCCAGGCCTGGCATCAACAATCTCAGCTCCAGCCCTTACAAGAAGTGCCTGTAAACATCAAGGCTACCTTCATACATCAAAGTTTGTGCTGACTGGAAAATAATTTGGGGCTTTGGAAAGCAGTGCCAACAGTGCAACAAGATCACCAAATCATCATTGCAAGGCTCTTGAAAACATGATTTCCACTGGCTTATTTTACAATCCAAAAGAAACATTACTGTACATACAGATGAGGATGACACAGTTTTGTACAATGTATAGAATAAGGAACAAATCTGATTAATTTTTCTAATTCAAACTTTGTCCTAAATTAAAGAGTAAGTCATAAGGGAGTGTATGAACAGGAAAAACAACCAGGAGAATTTTTTTTTTTTTCTTTTTTTTTTTTTTTCTGGGGAGAAGTATGTACACTTCCAGTTAGCATCACGGGGACTTTAGAAATATGCTTGCAAAAATACAATTTGTTCTTTAGATATTAAAAGATATTCAGCTTGCTGCTGTCAACAATACAAGATGGGCAAGTGACACAATGCATGCCTGAGCTAAATGGATAGATTAAACATATGTGGATTTCTTTTTTGCTTGGTTTATCCCACAACTTTTGTATTGCTGGATGGTAAAGGTCACAGTGAAGGCTGAGGCTTTACTTTGATTTAAGGCATTATTAAAGCAGTGCTTAATTAAATTAATCTGCAATATATTAAAAGAGCACAGTGTTACTCTCACACCAGGACCTTCTCCTCTAAACTTGGGGCTGACAGAGATTCAATCTGATGCAGAGCCATAACGATTATCTTCCTATTTTCTGACTGTTCAGTTGTACTCCTATTTTCCCTGTTTGATATGATCAACACACTGTTTATACGCTCAGCTACCCATACTGATAAATACATTTACTTACCGCTGGAGCTGCAGAGCAGCATTTCCAACAGAAGCTGCAATCATCCCAGTTCAGGAGTGGAGGGAAGAAAGGCAACATTGAACTGGGAATTAGGAGAGCAAATGCTCGTGTTTGTCCTGTACAGTGTGTGACTACAGGCAGGTCACATCACCTCTGTGTCCTGCCTCCCTTTTTGTTGGCTTTGACATGCTTTGAAGCAGGGATGCCTCCTTCCCTGTGAGTCTGCGAACCCCCTGGTGTGTTTTCCTGCTGATGTTAGCTCTTGATCTTGAAAGAGGTGCCTGAGGGCACCAAGCTGATGTTTCTGCTGTGCCAAATGTCCAAGTGGCAAATGGGAAGGCTGAATGGGTCAAGCCGGAGGCTCAAACCATAATGGACCCGTTCAGGTCCCAGGAGTTAAAATTTCATTGATGCCAGGGAAAAGTTGAGCCCTTTGCAACCTGATGGCGAGTAGGGAGCTGTGTGACACGTCTCTTCTGCTCCACCTTGTACACTGGTAGGGTGTGCTAATGGGGGAGTACAGACCTCTTTACTCCTTTCTGCTTTATTTGCTGTGAGATAAACAAATATGCCCCCCACACACACTGAACGCAGGGAAAATCATGCAGAAAGTTATTCAGCATGGAAGTCATAAATACACAAAAAATGAGTGTCACTTCCATGGTCTGTGTTATACGAGGTTCCAGACTTCCTAAAACATACCCAAAGAGAAGTTAAAAATGTCTTCCCATGGTGAAGACTGCTAAAATACAGCATTTTGCTGCAGAAGAGGGGAGCTCTGCCAGGGCTCCTGTGTTTACAATGTCACCGAAAGCAGGGAGTGCACATGGAAACTGGGGGAGTAGTGCAGAGGAGAAGAAGAAAGCCGGAAAGAAGAAAGAAAAGCACACAAAACTCGAGCTGTTAATCACATCCCTATGTTGCTAAAATATTTATGAGATCTCATTCAATTAATTAGAATAAACTATGTAACACTGCAGGAAACAAATTGAAAATTTAATAAAGTAAGTTCACTTCCAATTTCTTTTGAAGAAAGAAGCTAATTATATTTAGTTCTGTAATTATAACTTTAATTAAAATATAATGCAAAATATTCCATAAAGTGAAAACAGTTCTGTGTTAGAAGATGGAGCCTTTAAGACAACTTGCTCCTCAGACAGAAATTCAAAACAATTTCAAATGAACATTTTAATACACCAGTTTCTAAAATCCTTTCAGGCTAATTTTAATACAAATTCATCTTAGAATTGCTCATTACTGTTAGCTTTTATTTAAAAAGTAATGTCTTACCTTTCTGCTTTTACATAGAAAAGTTTTTTACTCTACATTAGTGATGCATTTTACTTACTGTATTTAAATGAGAGACACACTCCTTATTTATATTTGCCTATTGCAACCTACAGAACCCAATTTTTATTTAGAGAATAATTTCAAAACGCATTGTAAATTATATCCACATAGCAGCTACCTTTACCTGAGCAACAAGGGAAGAGAGTGCCTCAGGCAGAGGCATCCAGGCAGGCGCAGGGAAATTTGGGTCTAGCAATATAAAATGAGAACACTGACAAAATGACCTTTTGTTGATGTTTTTGATGATGATTTAATAGCAACAGAGTCTTCTAGGCTTGTGTAAAATGAATTTGTCTTTAGGACTTAAAAAATAATTTTACAAATGATTTCTAACACACAGTTCACCGGGGAGTCTGGGATGAATGTGCTGTTTGTGTATTCTCGGAGTTTATCTGAACCATATTTGAAGTCCAGCTGCATTTCTCCCACTTTGTTGGATTCTGATTCAGGCAAGCTCCTAAGTATTTCCATTTAAGACAGAAACCATAATTAGATGCTTAAATACATTTTTAAATAAGTGTAGCATGGAGTCTTGTTCTCAGTGAAGCCGTTAGAGTCCTGGACCTTTAACATTTCTGTGGTTTCCAGTAGGAAAATAGTTATGCCAGTGCATGACCTTTGAGTCTTGTCTCTCATGTGGCTTTAGCTACCTGCCCTAATTGGCAGCTAACAACGCTCATCTTCCCAGGCCCTGACCTGTTTCCTTCCATTTATTCTTCATCTCTCAGCCTGCACACATCCTCTCCCAGCTGGCTCATGACCCCCACCTCCAGCTGAGCAGCATCAGTTCAGTACCACCTAGCCCCATGCGTACAAGGGACTGCCACGGTCCCTTCAGAGCATCCTGACAGTAACATTTATCTCCTTTTCTTGGCCCACGCAGCTGGCAAATGCCATGTGCTAGGTCCTGATCCTCTCCCATTTTGTTTCAGCATGCTAACCATCCACCACCATCACCTTTTTACCTGCCAGAACTCAGGCAGCAAGCTTTGCTCGATAACCATGGGAGTGCTGGCAGGTCTTCTCTGTCCTTCCTTAGTTTTCTGTGCTGGGATAGTCTGCTTTTTTTTTTTTTTTTTTTTTTGGCTAAGCATGGTATGCTCTCCTGTCCTCCCCTATTAAATAGCTACATTCCTAGTAATACACATATGAAACAAAGAGATCATGTGGAAAAAGTGCACACAAAAAAATTATGAAAAATAAAAAATGTTTATTCTATTGCTCTTACCAGTGTTATCATACAGCAGTGGTCACTAATGATGTCTGTTACAAATGTGCTTTTTGCCTCTATTCAATACCAATCCTAGGGAAATACCTTTGCCAATATTTCGAAAAAAAAAAGAGGGCATCAGACCTTAGATCTTTCTGATGTCCACCTGTGCCTGTCATTGCCATAAAGTTGCTTAACTATAGATTTTCAGTGCTAACAAAACTCCTTCTGTTCTCTCCAAGCAGATCAGATGTAACACGAGTGAGTCAGTTGTAGCGGTGTTAATTGAACAAAACAGAAACCCAAAATAGAACTATTTGAAGGAAATGCTGGATTGACATATGCTGTTTTCGTACATTTGTTGAACATTATTGAGCATTTCTAGTGCAGTAATCAGAGAGAAGGAAAATATCTGGGAGTGTTTATTTGATAGAGTTTACATTACACAGCCTGCAATACAACCAGAGCAGCGTTTTGTGATCTTTCTGATCATCATTCACTTTCTTCCCCTCTTTGCTAAGGAACTTGTAATGATCAAAAATGACCACTGAGTGACCAGAAGCTGACATTTTTAAGTCTGTCTAATCAATAAGAAGCACTGTAGCAGTGAGAGCCCTCTCAGGGTGGATCAGAGGCTGTGGCAGAGGCTCTGTGCTCAGCAGAAGCTGCAGAGTAACTTTACAGCTGTAGCTTGCTCTGCCTGATGAGCTGAGCGAGCGAGGTGGTGGCCTTTCATTCCCCACACCATAAAGCCCTTCATCCCTCAGGCCCTGTTTCTTGGGATTTCATTTCAAGGAGAGCAGCTGAAGACATTTGCTCAAATCTACCTTGCTTAATCCCTGTTTGGCACAACTGAGATATCCAGTGACATTTCCACCTCCCTGCGGAACTGGAATGCTAAAGATCTAGATGGCTGGATGCATACAGGTGAAAATCAATACTGAAGTCAATGAAACTAAATCAGGACATAATTTGTGGAAATCAGTTTTAACTCTACTAAAGTTAGTGGAATTGCTGCCATTTCAACTATAAAGTAATCCTGCTAAAGCCATGGTGTAAAACATGGTCTTACTTGGTATAAAAATAACATTGGAATATGCTTACTTGCTGCTGCTTATACAGACACAGTATTAATCACATGTTGCTTTGTGCCTTTGCTCAACAAGTAAACTTGCTGGGCTGGACAGTCCAAGACTTGGGTGAAGATAAATCCTTAAGAAAAACTCACATAAGCTGTACTTGATGAAATACACAATCAGGTTGAGCTGAAGTTTTCAGTTTTTCTCAAATAACCAAAAAGATAAAATCTATTCCCTTGGAAGGAAAGATTACTATTTAATGTTTTATTCTCCCCAAAAGTGATCAGCTGCCAAACCCCATTGCTGACCAGGCTGAACTACAAGAACTGAGCATGTTGAGCAGAGGGTCTGGTGAGCACTTACACTTGGTTAGTTAATATAGAATTAGTTAGTGAAGACAAGACTTTATGCTTTTTTTTTTTTTTTTTTTTTTTTTTTTTTTAGTGGCTTAAGAGAAGTAGGTACACGGCCACAATTAATTGAATTTGCAGAAAGATGTAGTTCATATTCTTATCTCTGTTGGTACAGTAACATGCTGTAAAAACTATCTGCGGTTTCTGAGCATTCTCTTCTGCTGACTATTATGGGTGTGACTTGAAAGGCAGGGACACTTCCAAGGTGTTTGCAGTCCAAGTATCATCTCTAAATATAATATATTGCCAAGTTTGCCATAAATCTTCTGTACAACCATTTTCTCTTCTGTGCATCTCTTTCAGCTCTGATCTTTTGCCTGTCTGGTTTATGTAAGTTTAGCATTCTGCTGCAGGACTTAACCTTTATGACACATCTATAAAGTACCTACAATAAATGGGTGTTGATCTCAGTGGGGAACTTCAGACAGTGTCATCATGCAAATTAGAATTTAATCTGTAACACTTCTGACCCTGTTGTTATCAATGCTTCTATGCACCCAAAGAAAAACTAATAATGAAGAGAAACAGTTGTTGTACAAGAGACGTGAATACTTAAATAGCTGTCTGCTCTCTTTCATATTTTTAAGACTTAAAAGTTCATGGATTTTTTTCACTGCCTATGTTAAATGAAAGCATCTTTACTTGATATTCATCATTCTACAATGGCCATTTCATCACCTAGACAACATGAATAAAAGTTATTATTCTTAGTCATTAGTCACTCAGTCAGGAAAAAGAGAAAAATTGAACGTTTTAGAACATTTTACTTTTCTGTCATTTTAGAGTAAATGACACTCCTAAATGATGGCCAGTCAAACCTACAGAATCTATTAGTAACTTGATAATAAGTGTGAAGGGATGCTGGGACCCAAAGGAGTCTTAAAGTGGCATTTATCAGGCATGTCACATCATTGCTACTGGTAATAAAAGCATTTTTGTTTTATGCTGCAGCGTCTATAGAGAATAATATTTTTTGTGCTATACCTAAAAGTGATATTGCTACATTCATCACACTGTTTGATATGAAATAGCCTAAAAGCACTGGAAATTGGCTGTCATTATTTGTTTCTTCCTATTATTTTTTTCCCCCTCCTAATCAAGGAACCTGCTACAGTGGTGAGAAGAGTTTTCCTTACCTAGAAATTAAGATACAAAGAGAGAAAACAATTTCTCCATCATAAGTCTAACCTTTTTTTTTTTCTTTTCTTCGTAGCACTGCCTTAATGGGTTAGTGTCCTTTCAAGAAGAATATTTATGATCAACACATTTTGTTTTCTGATAGTAAAGTTCAGAGTGTTTGGTTTACTATCCTAGTCTTCCTGGCAAAATCTTCATTGGCTATAGTGAAAATTCAGTGTGTTTGGGAACTGCAAGATGATAACTTTGTATGTTAGCATCTGAATGTTAAAAATCAGAAAGAAAGTGCAGTGAAAAACAAAACAAAATGAAAAACTGAGGCTTTCTTCTTTTCATCTGACTTCCTTGGTATGAGAAAGTTCCATCAGTTGCTTTCAATTGATGGGTCAACCAGTCACGGCCTTGTGCTCTGTATCCCCTGTACAGCTGCTACAAATTTGCATGGCAAAGCTTGTGCAATTTCCTATGGAACTGTAAGGCTAGGATAGGCAAATGCATCACAGGAGCTCACTTAATAGCAGAGAGGAAACAGAGCACATTCATCATATTGAATTCTTTCCCACTGATATTCATCATTTGCATGTAAAAATGCCATCTGATTTTTCTCCCTCATAAACCTGGTGTGATGTTTTCCTTTTTTCCTGTTGTTATTTTGGTTTGGATTTAAATCTGTCGCTTTTGTAAACTTACGCTTTTTAAGCTCCACTGCATTCTGAACATAGAAATGAATGGGATTTTGAAGGACTGGAGAAGTTAAAATACAATTTAAGTGTGCAGGTGCAATACAATTGATTTTATAATTAATTGAGCCTCTTCTGAGTGGTGGGGTTGCTCTTTGAAGGTAAATTCTGCCCTGACCGTTTTTTCCAGACTACAGAATTTGTCATATTGACTGACTGGTGAGATCTGGCATGCCTTATTAACAGTCTTCAGCAAAGCAATCCTCTCCTTGTCTGAAACATGGAGTCAGGCTAGACAGTTGGAACAGCTAGAGCAACCTTAACACTTCTGAGGGGCATGGTGGTGCCAATATTGTAAATAGCCCTCTGCTCTTCCTGCACATTAATCTTATTCCCTCTTTATACTGCACAGACATATCAGCTGACTCCGTGGGACATTTAGTCTTGTAAAAGTATGATGCTATGACAACTTAATTCAGGTTTTTAGAAGTTCATGCAGCCAGTCAATAAAAAAGGTATACCATGTAAAAATGCAGAAAAGTACTATAAATGTGGAAATGCAATGCTGTTAGTATGGATGACCATATTTAAATTGAGTGAACAGGTTATGCCTTTCTTTTCCTGACTTTTTATATAATTATTGCTAGTTCTCTGCGCAGCAGTTAAGGACTTGCAGATGAAGCATGCTGCTGCTTTGAGGTCAGATATATCACTCGTAGAGTATAGTGATAAGAAGTGGCCCTTACCAAATAAATTAATTTGTAAATAACATTTACTGAACTCTAGAAGTCGCTGTATTAACCTGTTCAGCCTTTAAAAAGATATGATGTGCCTCAAACCACAGGCTGAAATACCCAACGGTTGCAATGAAGTGCATATCATTCTGAGAAATGAATGACAGGAATCATTTTTTTTGAATGCCTTTATAACTAAACACTCATATCACCCTGCACAAACTTTACTATTTCTATATCCTCTTTTCCTGACAGCAGTTCTTTTTGAAGCTGTTTCTGGCAGAGATCCATTTGTGTGGCCTCAGGGGGACTCCTGTGGGTTATGGGTGCTGTTTTCTGCCAATGACTGTTTTCCCCAATCTTCCCTACCCCTTGCTCTGGTAGCATTTGCTGATTTATTTCTGAAAAGATAATGCATACACTAGCAGACAGTTCTGCAATAATCATGTCTCAGCAGTTGTCTTTGGTCACCAGTAATGAGAAGAAAGGAACGAGCTAGAGAAAATGCTCTAATTAGTTCCTGTAGATCAGAACACTTCACTGACAAAATAAGCCATGTGTCTTCACAGAGCTAATGTCATTGCACTAAAATGTTGGCTTTTCTAAGGAAAGAAATTGCAGTATGTTTTAAGGGACAAACCAAAATAATTCCATTATGAAAAACAAACAAACTGCAATAGTCTGAGGAGGGGTAGTTCAAGGTTTGTATCTGAAAATCTCAAAATCAAATATGCTCATATTAATCTATTTATATGTATGTATTTATATTTATTTTATATTTATGTATTTATATCTCATATTTAGTTTGTTGTGTGTGGTACTCCATGGATATTTTCAGACTGGGTATCTTCTACTGTTAGCAAAAATTTTTCTTTTGTCTTTACAGTCATCAATTTCTTGCTTGCTGCTTTCGAACATCACCCCCCCCCCTTACTGCATTTGAACTGAGCAAAATGACCCACTTTTGCTTTTGTTAGTATTTGCATGGAAAGCTAGAGATGTTTGTAGAGAATCCATGAATTTATTCTACAACAGAACACTGCTACTATTGCCAGCAAAGACAGTTTTTCTAGGTTAGCACAGTGAAATTTCACCAGGAGCAAGCCACAGATGTGTTGCAGTGAGACAGCTTGCCATTTGTTAGTGGAAACACTTTGCAGCTTCTAAAATATCACTTCTCTCAGGAGCAGCTGCCTCCCTCTCCACTGTATGTTTGTTCTGTTGGGTAAGGTAGGTGTGTGGATTGCTCACATCCATTGCATACACACGTCCCCCATACATATGCACTCACAACTTGTCTACTTATTCGCCCTCCAAACAGAAGGAAAGCAGAATAAGGACATTGTTCCTACCCTGATATTTCTTGGCCCGTGTTTATCATTTTGCTCCAGGGCAGCATTCCCTTCACCTGGCCATAGGAATGCACGATAAGTTAAAGGTCTGTCTAGGCCAATGTTCCGTCTCTGACAGTCATCAGAAACTGATGGCTGGGGAGGAGTACAAGAAGGAGCACATATGTGATTCTTCAGCCATTCTCAGTATGAGTACTAAGTTTTTAGTATGCCTAGGTGGATTTTGATTCCATTAATTTTCCAGACTTCTCTTAAACCACTCAAAACTTCTTGCACCCACAGTACCCTTTGACAAAAGGATTCACATACCATGTGCCTGTTGTGTGAAGTACCATTTAGCTTTGTTCTAAGCCTGGATAAAAACTTTTTCCTTTTTCCTCTTCCTCTTCCTTTTCTTTTTCTTCCTCCCTTCCTCCCTTCCTTCTTTCCTCCCTCCCTTAACAGCTTGTAGCACTTCTGTGATATCTCTCCTTTCCTCCCCCCTTTTAAAGTATCTTGATCTTTGCAGCACTCCTCACTTCTCAGCTCCAGC